CTAGCAGCATATATATCTATGAGTGAGCGACGCATGTCCTTATCTTTGCATTAACTTTCCTTTCTTCATAGTAACGTTTTATTAAAACCTTATTTTAGGTTTTGTCTGCTTTCCCGAAGTTTCTGTTAATATGTCATTGTATTTATCTGGGTAAATATTGCCTTTCCTTTTGAAAGAGGTTTCAAAATAAACTATGTCTATATTTATTAATCCCTTGACTTGGACCGGTTTTAAAGACACTTTCTTATCGTTAAAAATTGTCGCTTTTGCCGATTGGTTGTTAACGATGGAATGGTTTTTATACTCATAAAATGATGGGAGAACTTACAGCGCTCATCCTGTCCCCGTAGATGGGGGTGACCTGGTCCCGCAGTAGCTTGCCCCGGTTGTCAAAATGACCACGCGCCGCCACTGAGTTTTATTGATTGTGTTAATTTTCACTGTTGTTCTTGATATCATTTATCAGTATTCACAAATATTCATAAATTACTATCTAAATACATTGACCAACAAATTGTACAGAAAACAAAACTACATACAATACCAGAAATAGGCAAAAATTATGCAAATTGAAATTGAGCGGTATTAAGTATCGTCTAGTATTAGCGCCATTGAAATAAATATAACCCAAAGCTTTTTTTGCCACCAAGCAGGCTACGTGAAATTCGCCTTTGCAATAAATGCGACCTGTGGTACCAGTTACCACCTGTATGTGGTAAATAAAAAAATATCACATGTTAGGTCAGATATATATGTACATTCTAAACCACCAATTGTTTTATTTTCTCATTTGATTGACAGAGTAAAGTGGCGATCAGGCGTATTATTGAGGAAGTAGAAATGGTTTTCAATTGCTGGGCAATCCGACTTTTCCAATTCCCAAGTTTGCTTCTTTTCTGACAGCTTCCATTTTAGTCTGCACCTCGGGACTCATTTGCATCTCATGATGACACTGTCTCATCAAATCAACAATATTCAAGAAAAGAGGATGTCCGTCTCCATGCGTTTTCTGAAAATGGGGCTTAAGCGTTAGAAACCTGATATTTAAAATTGTTTGTGTTTTCAGTAAGTTTCTTTATAGGGTGAATCAATTTCTGAAACAAAGTTCTGAAGCAAACCTGAATCCGCAATAACAGAATCTTGTTGTTTTAAAACTCCGAGTGCTTGATTGTAAAATCTTTCGAAGTTTCTTGACTGAATATATCAAAATGAAACAAAATTGAATGGAAATGGATACATTGTAAAACATAGACAACAATATTTTAATGAACCCAATCGCAAGCGCTTAGGAAAGGATTTTCGTCTATTTCAAGAATCAAAATATGCAAAACCAAAATATGGTTCTAAAAAAATCTGCATTACCTTTTTCGTGTTTTCCATGCGCTTTTGTGCTTCTGTTGACATTTTTATAATATAGTTTTCAGCTTCAGGTTTTCCTTTTAAAATATTTTCATCTAGCAGAGCAATTTTCCTATCTTCTCTTTCACTTCCTAAATAGAAAATATATTTATAACAGAAACAAAGCATTAGACATAAATGAAATCAAAAACTTTGTAAATCAACTAAGGATCGAAGTGAAAGGCATCTTATATTCCTCGCATTCATCTTTAGAAGTATTTTAGTACAATTATCTAACCATTTTCGCACTCTTCGCACTTGAAATCGAAATAATATTGATTCTTCAGTTTTTCTTTTTTCCTCTTTTCTTTTTAACATTCTAAAAATATGTGCGGCCCGCGAATGACTTGCAACCTTTAATTGTGGCCCGCGAGCGACAAAAAGTTGCCGACCCCTGCTTTAAAGTTTTGTTTGTCGGAATCGATTGATCTTTGAAAGTGCGATGTTTGTTAAAGCAATTACTACCGCGATCATTAAAGTACAAATTTTGCAACTACCTGTGATGAGAAGGATATCGATTTCACTAAGATTTTCAGGTTTTGTGATCTATTTAAATGAGAAAAACTTCAAGTCGGAGATGTAACTACGATGTTTTGAAATAATACTATGCAAAGGTTCTACTTTGGTATGCGACCTCAGTGGTTGTTTGATAAGAGTGATTTTAGTTAGGAACTGAATTCTATGAGAATGTCTTTATGAGATTAAATGCATACAAATTGGTACCACTTTGGATTGCGATCACGTTAATTAATATCTGAAAAAAAAAATTAAATTTTTTTTTTTCATTTCATCTATGTCACATGACCCATTGCACCAGGACGATCTTCAGGAAAACTTGTAAAAACCCGTTCTCGCGACCTAGAAAATACAGATAAGAAAGTATCCTCAATGTTTGAATTGTTTCGAAAACTCGAAAATAGATAACAGTGAAGGTCCCATTGGTACAAGCAAACTAAAAAAAAATACAAATGGGAAACTTTTGAAAATGATGCAGGTGGGTACGGTTTCTGTCTACTCAGTTTTATTTTATCAACTCTTGTAGAGGAAATGAAAGGCACAAATTGTAATTCCATCTATGCATCAAAATCTGGAAATCCCCGAGAGAACGCGCGCGCGAGCATAATAAAAAACATGAAACACATTCCAAATAAAAGGCAGAATAATCCATAAATAAATTGGACAGTCCGGCCACGATATCCAAATGAATGACTTCGAATTATGTTTGAATCCTGACACTGAACTTGTTTCCCGTCGTAGTCTGGTGGGTGATATCGAGCATTTACTATTCTGACTTTAATGTGTTTGATGAAACCTTCATATTCTAAAACACGAAACATGTACAATCTCCGATTGTTTAAACTCCACCAACAGTCACCATCTTGAAATACTTCAATCATTGGAAATTTGAAAACGCATTCGTGATCTGATTTGACTAAATTAATAGCCTCGTGTATGTCTGATTCAGACATTGAAGATATGTATTTCTTCGTAAAACGAATATCTCGCGGCCTCAAATATATTCCATCTGTTAATTTTGACATTTTGCTTGAATGTTTCTTTGTTCAATGCTATAGGTTTAAACTTAAATTTATAAAAACTAAAAATACCAATTAATAACAAAAAATTTAATTGATATAGCGACAACTTAGCGAATAACTCTTAACTTTCAGTGAACTTGAATAACAAATCATACATATATAGCATATACGGAATGACTAAAAAAAGAAGTAAACTTCGATATCGAAATTTTAGTCAGTCATAGTCATCCCAGTCGTTAGTTGATTTCTCAGTTCCATCTAGAATATTCCTCAAAATAAATCAGACAAAATATGAAAAATGCTCCTGCAACACAACATAAAATGAAATATCTTTTTCTGGAATCCAGTGATTTCTCGTGCAAACGGAATCAACAAAATCAACTTGTACTCCGTCGTAGTATCGCGAATGATTCCGGCTATTCACAAGTTTTACTTTGATACGTTCAATGTAGCTTTCATATTCCAAAACGCGACACATGTATAATCGTCGATTATTCAAGGTCCACCAACGGCCGCCACTTTGAAAAACTTTGATCGTTGGAAAATTAGAAACATCTTCGATCCCTTCGTTGATTGAATCAACTAACGCATGAATTCTTGAGCTGTCCTTATATTCACCATGGGCATCCAATCCAGAGTTGAATCTTTGCGGAATAAAACGTTTAGTAAAATGAATGCCACTTGGTCGTATTGAAATGGTAACGTAGTCTGATGAACTTGAACTCATGGTGAAGTAAGCTTTACTTTAATATAGGTTGTAATATAAAACTGACATGTACCCAGTTGTATTGATGTCCCGCTGAGGTTACCTGGTATAATGTCTTCAAAATTGAATATCCTTTTCTACTAAAATTCTCATTAATAAATTATAGGTGTTTGAACGATAAGCTGCGGATTTTGTAAAATAATTTATACTCTGATACTATTTATTTTATACAGGTAATTGTTATTTAAATTCATTCCTGTTTCGACGTTAAAGATTGTTTCGCAAAAATATCTTTTTCTTTTTCCGTAAAGTAAATACTATTCTGTAACACGGAGCGCAATACAAAATACTTGGTTTTGCATTTATTGCCTTGCAGGCATAACTACATATTATATTGTGTTAAAGCGATGGGGAATTTCCCGACAATGAGACTGCAATCTTCATTAGGACTCAAAAGTTTTGTTTGTCGGAATCGATTGATCTTTGGAAGTGCAACGTTTGTGAAAGCAATTACTACCGCGATCATTAAAGTTTAAGCTCAGCGGCCAGCTCTTGTGATGAGAAGAATATCGAATTCACTAATATTATCAGGTTTTGTGGTGAAACTTTTATGTATTTAAATGAGAAAAACTTCTATTAGGAGATACATTTACGCTGCTTAAAAGTACTATGCAATAGTGTTACTTTGGTATACGACCTCTGTGGTTGTTTGATCAGAGTGATTTTAGTTAGGAACTGAATTCTATGGGAATGTCTTTAAAAGATTGAATTCATACCAAGTGGTGCCACTTTGGATTGCGATCACGTTAAGCAAGTGAGATGGCATACCGAAGTGGTCCACATGCAAATATATGTCATATAAATGATTCATTTATATTTTTTTTCTGCAAATCATAGTCACAAGTCATGCGATGTTAAGTCGTAGTTAATAATCAAGATATAAGCTTGCAATTTGAAAACTGGCGATCATATTATATCTTCAATCGTTTGGGAAGTATTTAGGTTAAGAGGCTAACCCGTTTTATACAGTTTACTACCGGGTAAGTTACTCTTGTCATTATATATTTTTGCATTAGTTTCAAATTTATTACATTACTATGCCAACTGTAACCGCAAAACAGTAGTTTTTTCGCTTCATTTGAAGCTTATTCAAAAAGTTTTGAATACGGCTAAATGTTTGCATGATTTATGTTACTAGCACAATATAACGAATTCCTTCAGACGATGTCCAGCTTTGCTTTGCTTGGTATATTACACGTCTTATTGCTTGGTATAATACACGTAAACTAATTGCTTATTAACAACTTTCCAGGCTAACCCAGTTCGTATTTAATTTTGTTCAATTTAGAAATTTGAAAATGGGACAAATCGAATCAAGACCAAATTTAGGAAGAACATCCAGTAAATCTGAAAACACAAACAACAAAGGGTTGCGCCTTCCAGTTGGACTGAAATTTGAAGGTTCAACTTCATATAGCAACGGCTTGATGCAAATGGTATTTTTTATACCAAAACTTCGAAATGCAGTCTACATTGTTGCGAATGGAAAAAATGCAGATAAGAAAGTATCCTCCATGCTTGAAGAATTGTTTCGAAAAATGGATGACAGTAAAGGTCCGGTAGGTACAAGCAAACTCAAAGAAAAATACAAATGGGAAACTTTTGAAAATGATATAGGTTTGGACGGTTTCGGTTTACTTTATTTTATTTTACCAACTCTCGAAGAAGAAATGAAAGGCACAAGTGTTCAAGATGTAATTCCATCTATGTTTGAGGGAGAATTGCTTAACTATATACGTTGTTTCGATGTGGAGTTTACAAAACAGTGGAAAGAAAAGTTCCATGCCTTGCACTTACATAATAGTAAAGGGGTGATTGATTCACTTCATAAGTTTATTGAACCCGAAATTCAGGATGGAGAACACAAAGTACGAACCGACATCCACGGATTACAAGAAGGAGAAAGGGGAGTAAAACTGCTTACACTGAGTCCAATTTTATGTTTGTATTCGGAGAGATATCGAAAAAAGTTTTTGGAACCATACGAATTTTCGAAAAAACTAGAACTTGATGAATTTTTGGACATACCAGATCCTAACGACAAGGCAACATATGTGCTACATTCTTTACTCATTCACAGGTAAAATATTGTTTGCAAAACAGCATTCATTCTTCATTCATAGACAAATAATAAATGATAATAAAAGTCATATTATTATGGTCAAGAGGCCGGCTCATTTGAAATAGGGCGCTGCAAACTGTTACTTAAATATTATGATTTAAATGTAGATGCAAACTCGATGGTGAAAACAGTGATGGCAACTATCATGCATTTATTGATCCAAAAGGTGATGGCAACTGGTTTGTTTTTGATCATGAATTAGTAGAGAAGTCTGCTGAAGAAGAGATGCTTCGAGAAGGATTTGGTGGGGTAATTGATGGCCAGTTATACCGTCCGTAAGTAAAACCCATACAGTAATTTCGTAAACTTAAATCTATATGTATGACTGACCCAATAACTCTGTTACTTAAAGCATTTACACATACAAGGGTCGACGTCTGTGAAGCTTAAAATTGATTGATCGCGTCCTATCGGTGGATTTAGCTTTACATAGCTGTAGATATCTACAACAAGATATTTTAAAATCTAATCTCTGACTCATTTAACATTTAATTTAAAATTTCAGATACTTCTTCTTTTATATCCGAGAAAGCAAGATAAACGAAATTCTATTGGGATAAAGAGTATACATTGAAAACTCAGGGAATATAAAAGAGCCGTTTTGTGCTTATCTGTCGCTAGAAATATGCTGCACCCAAAGTGATGCCACGCGATGCCAAACTATATTAAAAAGATGATGAAAAATTTGGTTGCGATTTGGATATTCCTAATTGGATGGATTTACAAGATTGTAATCTTATAACATATTCTTTGAACTTGTTGACTGACTTATTATGAGGTACAGTATGAGTGACATGACAGGGATTCAAATATTAAAAATATATATACATTATGTGGAATTTCCGTTTATCTGATCGAATTGCCAAGATACCGCCACAAGCATTAGCAGAGGGTGGTAGCGGAAGTAATCATACGAAATATATATTTCAGTATTATATTGCAGTACTAAATACTACATCATAACTGATTGTTAATTGAGTGGTGATTTCTTACAATATTCCCATTAAATCATTTTATTCACAAAGTAAAGATTTTAATTAAGAATAGGCTATTCGTTGCAAAAAGTGATGGAAAATATTAAATTAGTAATACGATTTGGACGGGATTAACGCTGTTAAATACCGTGAAGATATTTTTTAAGTGTAAATTTCCCCACTTCATAAAGCGCATTAACTACTGAAAAGCTCGTTTTTAGAAATGGTAAAGCAGCTTTGCAGTGTTGGATGGAAATCAATATGTCACGGAAATCGGAGTAAATCGAGTCAGGAGTCATCAGAATTTCGATTTGAATAAGCTACTGACTTAATTTCACTGGTGATTTGTTGAGTAAGGAGTCCGCGTCGTTTCATATGACTCGAATCACTCTGAATCTTGATAAATGGTGACTTGAGTCTAACTCAAATCTAGCCAATGACTCGAGCGTCCCCAACACTGCAATTTAGGATAGCAAGTAACATATTTAACACCATTTTAATGTGTTTCCCATGGCAGTTTAGAGCATGCAATAGCCGATCCAATATACATAATCACTAAAAACAATCCAAATAAATAACAAACAATCCCATAGCAGAAAAGACTAATTTCGGAAGGGATAGGATTTATTAAATCCGGCTCATAAATTTCTATTCGTTTTGAGTAATGACGCCTTGTTGTTTCTGAATCTTGAAACTCAACTGTTTTGCCGTTGTAGTCAGGTGGATGACCTCTGACATTAACAATCTTGACTTCAATGCGTTTCAAATATCCATTGTATTCCAAAACACGAAATATGTATAAAAGTTGATTATTTGAGGTCCACCAAAAATCTCCATCTTGGAAAACTTGGAAAATCGTAGAAAATTCTGAGATACGTTTATGTCCTGATTTGATCGCGTCAATCGTTTTATGTATTCTTAAATTGCAGTGACGTTCTCCAGTAGAACATATCTCATCGCTGAGCGATGAGGAAATATATTGTTTTGTAAATTTAATATCCTTTGGTCTCAGAAACACGCAAAATGATTTACCTTTTGCCATTCGTCTTGGCTTGTCCCCCTTTTTCCGTTTTTGAAAATGCACAGTTTTAGTTTTGTGAATTCAGCAATTACTGAGCTATATACATACACACAATCATATAACATAAGCCCGACCAGCAAACATATCTAAAAATATATAATCATTATTGTTATTGCTTCAAATCTTTGCCTATTTGACGAAAAAAAAAATTATTATTTTGTTTAGGTAAAAGCAGTTTTTAATTTTTATTAAACTTTTTCTAAGACACATAAAATAAATTTAGATAAAATAATCATATTTCACATGTAAGATTCAAAAAAATTACGTGCATTTGAAAATTTGCAAAATGTCTCAACCCTAAAACATGCACGAACAGTCTATAAAGCAGTGTTCCCCAACCCGAGTCCGCTGTCTCAAATAAGTCCACGAAGCGTTTGAATGAGTCCGCAACGAGCCAGAAATTCACTACGAGGCGCAAATGTTTTTGCGACACTTAACTAACAGCCAAGTTACGATTTACGTTAAAATTTACCTAAAAGTTTACAAGTTTATTCACATAACATTAATCGAGTCTATAATTACTGGTTACTGAGTAGGGCTGAGCATATATTCGAATATTCAACTATACAAATAACAATTTATCATTCGAAAATTTGGTAACAGGTGACGCGACAGGTCACTTGCGCGTCGCTTAATCAAAGGATTGGATTTCACAACTGACTTGCGTATTTTCGATTTGCACACGCTTCGATAGATACTTAAGTGGTGTTTCTCGCAGTTCGAACAACTAGGAATATTTTTTTTTAGTGGGTGCCAATGGTAGCAACCCAAATTTTTTTTACATTGAGAAGCGACAAAACAAAACACTAAGGATAAAACGGAGAACACCATAAATTTAGTTTTATGATGGCCCGCGACCGATTGAAAACGCTTTTTTAGACATTGCGAATCGCAAAATTTCGGGTGCTACCGTAATACACGCACCGGGGCTTTTTTATATCAGATAGTAGGATTTTTCTAACCGCGATAACAAATTCCCAAGATTGCAAAAAATATGTATCAAAACTAAATATAATCGGGCAATATATTCTCACATTATTATGTTCGCAGATTGCCGTGGCATTTTAAAAAAGTAATTTTTTCATCTTGTCTTAATTAAGTCGACGCAACCGCGAGTTACTTTGAACACGATTAAATTAAAATAGAAAGTTTTTAAATTCTCGTCGTTGTCATGGACTGAATATTGTGCGACAGAAAATTATACACTATAAAGTCGGCTCCTCTAACGAACGCGTAATTGAGGCAAATTTCCAATTTTGAAATTCGTTAAAATTCTGTTGTGTTTGGTTTTCTTGCTTCTTCACACAGAGTACAGTTGCAATAAAAGCACCTTGAGTCCGCAAAGGTGCCGGTGTGAAAATAGTCCGCAACCAAAAAAGGTTGGGAAACGCTGCTATATAGGGATGATAAAAAATAACGATTTTGCTGATGCAAAAGTGGGGAAAATGTGACTGTTCATAATTGCACCAAGTTTGAGGGCATAATATTGCTTTGCCTGCAAATACGATTCACCTAAGACGAGGCAGCCACATATCTTTATGATAGGTGTATGCTTAGTTTGTCATTGTAATATCCCCCTACCAATTAGGTGAAGTGACACTGTGAGTGTAATTTTACAAAAACTTTGAACAGTATCGAAATGTAAAGAGTTTATCAATATCTATGATTTTCACATAGAACATTCATTGTTTAATCCCAATCTGGCTTTCTAATAGGAGATAACACGTAGACGGCGAGAAAAAAATAAATGAAACATATTCTAAATAAGAAGCAGAATATTCCATAAACGCGTACATGTGGAGAAAAAACATCATAAAACATATTCTAAATAAAAAGCAGAATAATCCATAAACAAATTGGACAATCCAGCCAAAAATGCATTCACAGTGTTCAAATGTTTCAGAACGATTTACGAAGTAAAGATTTCAATTTGGGATATTCGCTGCAAGAAGTAATAGACAAAACTAAATTAGTAATACGATTTGGACGACGAGACCTAAACTGTCAAATAACGTGAGGATACCTTTAAAAATGGAATGAATGGCGGTTTGTTGAGTAACGAGTCCGAGTCATTTCATATGACTCGATTCACTCTGAATCTTGATAAACGGTGACTTGAGTCTAACTCAAGTTTAGCCATGCAGTGACTCGCGCGTTGGAAACATTGCAATTTGGTTACAATTTAGCAAACAATCGCTTCCATATATTTTATGATATGAATACAAATTTGCGTTATTCGTTGAGCAATAAGTTCAACGCCATTCTAACATGTTTCCCAGGGCAGTTTAGAGCGTGAAATAGACAATTCACCTAACATATTCATTAATATATACAATTCAAATTTACAACAACAAAAAAACGGTAGCAGTAAAAGCTAATTTCGGAAAGGATAGAAATTAATCCATCTAGCTCATAATCTTCTATTCGTTTTGAGTAATGATACCTTGTCGTTTCTGAATCTTGAAAGTCAACTCGTGTGCCGTCGTAGTCAGGTGGATGAAATCTAGCATTCACAATCCTGACTTCAATACGTTCCATGTATCCATCGTATTCCAAAACACGAAACATGTATAATAGTTGATTATTTGAAGTCCACCAATAATTTCCATCTTGGAAAACTTCAATCGTAGGAAATTCTGAGATACGTTTATGTCCTGATTTGATCGCGTCAATCGTTTCATGTATTCTTAAATTGCAGTGACGTTCTTCAGCCGAACATATCTCATCGCTGAGCGATGAGGAAATGTATCGTTTTGTAAAATTAATATCCTTTGGTCTGATTTTCCTTTTGCCATTCGTCTTGACTTGTCTTCTTTTTCCGTTTTTGAAAATGCACAGTTTTAGTTTTCTGAATTCAGCAATCACTAAGCTATATACATACACACAATCAAGCAACATAAGCCCGACCGACAAACATCTAATAAGATGTAATCATTATTGATTTTTCTTCAAAATTTTGCCTTTTTGACGAAAAAAAACATTTTATTTTGTTTAGGTAAAAGTAGTTTTTAATTTTTTAATAAACTTTTTCCAAGACATAAAAAATAAATTTAGATAAAATAATTTTATTTCACATGTCAGGTTCCAAAATGTCTTTACTCTAGGCCTAAAACATGCATGAATTTAGAACAGTCTATATAGAGATGATAAAAAAAATAACGATTTTGTTGATGCAAACGTGGAAAAAATGTGAATGTTCATAATTGCAACAAGTTTGAAGGCATAATATTGATTTGTCTGCAAAATATGATTCACCCAAGATGAGGCAGCCACATATATTCATGATATAGGTATGTATTGCAACATTGAAATTCTCATGCTCAATTTGTCTTCGTAATATCCCACTACCAATTAGGCCATGGGACACACTGTGATTGCAGTTTTACAAAAATCTTGCCCAGTATAAAAATTGAAAGAATTTATCAATATTCACGATATTTACATAGCCCTTTCATTGTTCAATCCCAATCTGGCATTTTATACAGAGATAACGCGTACATGTGGAGAAAAAGCATCATAAAACATATTCCAAATAAAAAGCAGAATAATCCATAAACAAATTGGACAATCCAGCCAAAAATGCATTCACAGTATTCAAATGTTTCAAAACGATGCCTTCGAATTCTGTTTGAATCCTGAAACTGAACTTGTTTTCCGTCGTAGTCTGGTGGATGATATCGAGCATTTACTATTCTGACTTTAATGTGTTTGATGAGTCCTTCATATTCTAAAACACGAAACATGTACAATCTCCGATTGTTTAAACTCCACCAACAGTCACCATATTGAAACACTTCAATCATTGGAAATTTGAAAACATATTCCTGATCTGATTTGATTGATTTAATAACATCATGTATTTCTGATTCAGACAATGAAGATATGTATTTCTTCGTAAAACGAATTTCTCGCGGCCTCAAAAGTATGATGTCTGTTAATTTTGACATTTTGCTCGAATGTTACTTTATTGAATAGTAGTCTATAGTTTAGACTTAAATTTATAAAATCTAAAATTTACGATTATTAACAGAAAATTTAATTGATATAGCGACAACTCAGAATACCTCATAACTTTCCGTAATCTTAAATAACGAACCATACATATAGATTTACAGAATGACTGATAATATGTACACTCCGATATCGAAATTTTAGTCAGTCATAGTCATCCCAGTCGTTAGTTGATTGCTTAGTTCCATCTAGAATATTCTCCAAAATAAATCAGACAAAATATGAAAAATGCCCCTGCAACACAACACCCACCACCATAAAGTAAGCATGAACAACAGTCTGGACATTCATCATAAAATGAAATATCTTTTTCTGGAATCCAGTGATTTCTCGTGCAAATGGGATCAACAAATTTTACTCGTTTTCCATCATAGAATCGGGGATGATTCCGGCTATTCACAAGTTTTACTTTGATACGTTCAATGTAGCCTTCATATTCCAAAACACGAAACATGTACAATCGTCGATTATTCAAGGTCCACCAACAGCCGCCACTTTGAAAAACTTGGATCGTTGGGAAATTAGAAACATCTTCGATCCCTTCTTTGATTGAATCAACTATCGCATGAATTCGTGAGCTGTCCTTATATTCACCATGGGCATCCAATCCAGAGTTGAATCTTTGCGGAATAAAACGTTTATTAAAATGAATGCCACTTGGTCGTATTGAAATGGTAACGTAGTCTGATGAACTTGAACTCATGGTGAAGTAAGCTTTCCTTTAATATAGGTTGTAATATAAAACTGACATGTACCCAGTTGTATTGATATCTCGCTGAGGTTACCTGGTATAATGTCTTCAAAATTGAATATCCTTTTCTAATAAAATTCTCATCAATAAATTATAGGTGTTTGAACGATAAGCTGCGGATTTTGTAAAATAATTTATACTCTGATGCTATTTATTTTATACAGATAATTGCTATTTAAATCCATTCCTGTTTCGACGTTAAAGATTGTTTCGCAAAAATATCTTTTTCTTTTTCCGTAAAGTAAATACTATCCTGTAACACGGAGCGCAATACAAAATACTTGGTTTTGCATTTATTGCCTTGCAGGCATAACTACATATTATATTGTGTTAAAGCGATGGGGAATTCCCCGACAATGAGACTGCAATCTTCATTAGGACTCAAAAGTTTTGTTTGTCGGAATCGATTGATCTTTGGAAGTGCAACGTTTGTGAAAGCAATTACTACCGCGATCATTAAAGTTTAAGCTCAGCGGCCAGCTCTTGTGATGAGAAGAATATCGAATTCACTAATATTATCAGGTTTTGTGGTGAAACTTTTATGTATTTAAATGAGAAAAACTTCTATTAGGAGATACATCTACGCTGCTTAAAAATACTATGCAATAGTGTTACTTTGGTATACGACCTCTGTGGTTGTTTGATCAGAGTGATTTTAGTTAGGAACTGAATTCTATGGAATGTCTTTAAAAGATTGAATTCATACCAAGTGGTGCCACTTTGGATTGCGATCACGTTAAGCAAGTGAGATGGCATACCGAAGTGGTCCACATGCAAATATATGTCATATAAATGATTCATTTATATTTTTTTTCTTCAAATCATAGTCACAAGTCATGCGATGTTAAGTCGTAGTTAATAATCAAGATATAAGCTTGCAATTTGAAAACTGGCGATCATATTATATCTTCAATCGTTTGGGAAGTATTTAGGTTAAGAGGCTAACCCGTTTTATACAGTTTACTACCGGGTAAGTTACTCTTGTCATTATATATTTTTGCATTAGTTTCAAATTTATTACATTACTATGCCAACTGTAACCGCAAAACAGTAGTTTTTTTCGCTTCATTTGAAGCTTATTCAAAAAGTTTTGAATACGGCTAAATGTTTGCATGATTTATGTTACTAGCACAATATAACGAATTCCTTCAGACGATGTCCAGGAAAACTTGTAAAAACGAACAAGTAGATATGACTATATTGCTTGGTATAATACACGTAAACTAATTGCTTATTAACAACTTTCCAGGCTAACCCAGTTCGTATTTAATTTTGTTCAATTTAGAAATTTGAAAATGGGACAATTCGAATCAAGACCAAATTTAGGAAGAACATCCAGTAAATCTGAAAACACAAACAACAAAAGGTTGCGCCTTCCAGTTGGACTGAAATTTGAAGGTTCAACTTCATATAGCAACGGCTTAATGCAAATGTTATATTTTATACCAAAACTTCGAAATGCAGTCTACATTGTTGCAAATGAAAAAAATCCAGATAAGAAAGTATCCTCCATGCTTGAAGAATTGTTTCGAAAAATGGATGACAGTAAAGGTCCGGTAGGTACAAGCAAACTCAAAGAAATATACAAATGGGAAACTTTTGAAAATGATATAGGTTTGGACGGTTTCGGTTTACTTTATTTTATTTTACCAACTCTCGAAGAAGAAATGAAAGGCGCAAGTGTTCAAGATTTAATTCCATCTATGTTTGAGGCAGAATTGCTTAACTATATACGTTGTTTCGATGTGGAGTTTACAAAACAGTGGAAAGAAAAGTTCCATGCCTTGCACTTACATAATAGTAAAGGGGTGATTAATTCACTTCATAAGTTTATTGAACCCGAAATTCAGGATGGAGAACACAAAGTACGAACCGACATCCACGGATTACAAGAAGGAGAAAGGGGAGTAAAACTGCTTACACTGAGTCCAATTTTATGTTTGTATTCGGAGAGATATCGAAAAAAGTTTTTGGAACCATACGAATTTTCGAGAAAACTAGAACTTGATGAATTTTTGGACATACCAGATCCTAACGACAAGGCAACATATGTGCTACATTCTTTACTCATTCACAGGTAAAATATTGTTTGCAAAACAGCATTCATTCTTCATTAATAGACAAATAATAAATGATAATAAAAGTCATATTATTATGGTCAAGAGGCCGGCTCATTTGAAATAGGGCGCTGCAAACTGTTATCTAAATATTATGATTTGAATGTAGATGTAAACTCGAGGGTGAAAACAGTGCAGGCAACTATCATGCATTTATTGATCCAAAATGTGATGGCAACTGGTTTGTTTTTGATCATGAATTAGTGGAGAAGTCTGCTGAAGAAGAGATGCTTCGAGAAGGATTTGGTGGGGTAATTGATGACCAGTTATACCGTCCGTAAGTAAAACGTATACAGTAATTTCGTAAACTTAAAACTCTATGTATGATTGACCCAATAACTCTGTTACTAAAAATATTTAAACATATAAGGGTCGACGTCTGTGAAGCTTAAAATTGATTGATCGCGTCCTATCGGTGGATATAGCTTTACATAGCTGTAGATATCTACAACAAGATATTTTAAAATCTAATCTCTGACTCTAACATTTAATTTAAAATTTCAGATACTTCTTCTTTTATATTCGAGAAAGCAAGATAAACGAAATTCTATTGGGATAAAGAGTATACATTGAAAACTCAGGGGGAATATAAAAGAACCGTTTCGTGCTTATCTGTCGCTAGAACTATGCCGCACCCAAATTGATGCCACGCGATGCCAAACTATATTAAAAAGATGATGAAAATCTTGGTTGTGAATCGAATGTTCCTAATTGGATGGATTTACAGGATTTGAAATTTTACAACATACGTTGAACTTCTTGACTGATTTATTAAGGTACATAGGTGACATGGTATGTATTCGAATATTTAAAATATAGAAAAATGATGTGGAATTCCCGTTTTTCTGACCGAATAGAAAAGACACCGCCAAACGCATTGGCAGAGGGTGATAGCAGAAAGGGTCATGTGAAATGTATATTACAGTATTATATTGCAATACTACATCATCAGTGATTGTTAAATGAGTTGTGATTTCTAACGAAGATCAATACACTATTCCTATTATATCATTTTATTTACGTAAGTAAAGATTTCAATTTGGGATATTCGTTGCAAAAAGTAATGGACAAAACTAAATTAGTAATACGATTTGGACGACGAGACTAAGGCTGCTAAATAACGCGAGGATACCTTTGAAGTGTGAATTTCAGAACTTCATAGGGCGCATTTATTACTGAAATGATCATTTTTAGAAATTGTGAAGTCGCAGCAGCTTTGCAGTGTTGGATAGAGATCACTATGTCACGAAAATCGATGTGAATCGAGTCAGGGGTTATCCGAGTCATGAGTCAAATAAACTACTGTGTTAATCTCACTGACGGTTTGTTGAGTAACGAGTCCGCGTCATTTCATATGATTGGAGTCACTCTAAATCTTGATAAACAGTAACTTGTGTGTAACTCAAGTTTAGCCATGCAGTAGCTCGAGCGTTTGCAACACTGCAATTTGGAAACAATTTAGCAAACAATCTTTTACATATAATTTGGGATATGAATACAAATTTGCGCTATTTGTTGAGCAATAAATTCAACGCCATTCTAACGTGTTTCCCAGGGCAGTTTAGAACGTGAAATAGCCAATCCACCTAACATAATCATTATTAAATACAATCCGAACAAACAACAACAAAAAAACGGTAGCAGTAAAATCTAATTTCGGAAAGGATAGAAAGTAATCCATCTAGCTCATAGTTTTCTATTCGTTTTGAGTAATGATACCTTGTCGTTTCTGAATCTTGAAAGTCAACTCGTGTACCGTCGCAGTCAGGTGGATGACATCTAGCAGTCACAATCTTGACTTCAATACGTTCCATGTATCCACCGTATTCCAAAACACGAAATATAAATAATAGTTGATTATTTGAAGTCCACCAAAAATCTCCATCTTGGAAAACTTCAATCGTAGGAAATTCTGAGATACGTTTATGTCCTGATTTGATCGCGTCAATCGTTTCATGTATTCTTAAATTGCAGTGACGTTCTTCAATCGAACATATCTCATCGCTGAGCGATAAACGAAAAATGTATCTTTTTATAAAATAAATGTCCCTTGGTGGTTAGTAACACGCAAAGTGATGGTCTCCTTTTTCAGTTTTTGAAAATGCACAGTTTTAGTTTTCGGTATTCAGCAATCACTGAGCTATATATATGTACATACCGAAGCATGTAACATATAAAAATACAATTAATCCCGACCGGTAAACATACCTAAAGAGATATAAATAATATTTTATTCCTTCAAATGTTTGCCTGTTTTCAACAAAAATCCCATTTTATGTTGTTTAGTTAAAAGCAGTTTCTAAATTTTTAATAAACTTTGTTCCAAGACACAAAAAATAAATTTAGATAAAATAATTTTATCTCACATGTCACGTTAAAAAAAATGACATGCAATTGAAAATTTGCAAATGACTTAACCCCGAATCATGCATGAATTTAAAACAGTCTATAAAGTGTTGATAAAAAAACTATCGATTTTGTTGATGCAAGCGTGGAAAAATTGTGAATGTTCATAAGTGCAACAAGTATGAATGCATAATACTGCTTTTCCTGCAAATATGTTCACCTAAGAGGAGACATCCAAATATCTTTGTGATGAGTATATAATTTAACATTGAAATGCTCATGTAAAACAGTTTGTTATTGTGCTATCCCACTACCAATCAGGTGAAGTAACACTGTGATTGTAATTTAACTCGCCATAAGGGAAAAATAATTGCACAGTATCGGAATTGAAAGAGTTTTTCAATTATCACGTCAGAATTTTTAAATAGAACCTAAATTGTTCAATCCTAATCTGGCATTCTATCCCGAGATAACGCGTACATGTGGATAAAAAAAAAATCATAAAACATATTCCAATTAAAAAGCAGAATAATCCATAAATAAATTGGACAATTCGGCCAAAAATTCGTTTTAAGTATTCAAATGTTTTAAAATGATGACTTCGAATTCTCCTTGAATCCTGAAACTGAACTTGTATTCCGTCGTAGTCTGGTGGATGATATCGAGCATTAACTATTCTGACTTTAATGTGTTTGATGAAACCTTCATATTCTAAAACACGAAACATGTACAATCTTCGATTGTTTGAACTCCACCAACAGTCACCATCTTGAAATACTTCAATCATTGGAAATTTGAAAACGCATTCGTGATCTGATTTGACTAAATTAATAGCCTCGTGTATGTCTGATTCAGACATCGAGAATATGTATTTCTTTGTAAAACGAATTTCTCGGGGCCTCAAAAGTATGATGTCTGTTAATTTTGACATTTTGCTTGAATGTTACTTTGTTGAATAGTAGTCTATCGTTTAAACTTAAATTTATAAAATCTGAAATTAACGATTATTAACAGAAAGTTTAATTGATATAGCGACAACTCAAAATAACTCATAACTTTCCGTAATCCTAAATACCGAACCATACATGACTGGTAATAAGTACACTCCGATATCGAAATTTTAGTCAGTCATAGTCATCCCAGCCGTTACTTGATTGCTTAGTTGCATCTAGAATATTCTTCAAAATAAATCAAACAAAATATGAAAAATGCCCTGCAACACAACACCCACCACCATAAAGTAAGAATGAACAACAGTGATTTTTGTGTAAACGGAATCAACAAAATCAACTTGTTTTCCGTCGTAGTACTGCGAATGATTCCGGCTATTCACAAGTTTTACTTTGATACGTTCAATGTAGCCTTCATATTCCAAAACACGAAACATGTACAATCGTCGATTATTCAAGGTCCACCAACGGCCGCCACTTTGAAAAACTTGGATCGTTGGAAAATTAGAAACATCTTCGATCCCTTCTTTGATTGAATCAACTAAAGCATGAATTCTTGAGCTGTTCTTATATTCACCATGGGCATCCAATCCAGAGTTGAATCTTTGCGGAATAAAACGTTTAGTAAAATGAATGCCGCTTGGTCGTATTGAAATGGTAACGTAGTCTGATGAACTTGAACTCATGGTGAAGTAAGCTTTACTTTAATATAGGTTGTAATATAAAACTGACATGTACCCAGTTGTATTGATGTCCCGCTGGGGTTACCTGGTATAATGTCTTCAAAATTGAATATCCTTTTCTACTAAAATTCTCATTATTAAATTATAGGTGTTTGAACGATAAGCTGCGGATTTTGTAAAATAATTTATACTCTGATACTATTTATTTTATACAGGTAATTGTTATTTAAATCCATTCCTGTTTCGACGTTAAAGATTGTTTCGCAAAAATATCTTTTTCTTTTTCCGTAAAGTAAATACTATCCTGTAACACGGAGCGCAATACAAAATACTTGGTTTTGCATTTATTGCCTTGCAGGCATAACTACATATTATATTGTGTTAAAGCGATGGGGAATTCCCCGACAATGAGACTGCAATCTTCATTAGGACTTAAAAGTTTTGTTTTTCGGAATCGATTGATCTTTGGAAGTGCAACGTTTGTGAAAGCAATTACTACCGCGATCATTAAAGTTTAAGCTCAGCGGCCAGCTCTTGTGATGAGAAGAATATCGAATTCACTAATATTATCAGGTTCTGTGGTGAAACTTTTATGTATTTAAATGAGAAAAACTTCTATTAGGAGATACATCTACGCTGCTTAAAAATACTATGCAATAGTGTTACTTTGGTATACGGCCTCTGTGGTTGTTTGATCAGAGTGATTTTAGTTAGGAACTGAATTCTATGGGAATGTCTTTAAAAGATTGAATTCATACCAAGTGGTGCCACTTTGGATTGCGATCACGTTAAGCAAGTGAGATGGCATACCGAAGTGGTCCACATGCAAATATATGTCATATAAATGATTCATTTATATTTTTTTTCTTCAAATCATAGTCACAAGTCATGCGATGTTAAGTCGTAGTTAATAATCAAGATATAAGCTTGCAATTTGAAAACTGGCGATCATATTATATCTTCAATCGTTTGGGAAGTATTTAGGTTAAGAGGCTAACCCGTTTTATACAGTTTACTACCGGGTAAGTTACTCTTGTCATTATATATTTTTGCATTAGTTTCAAATTTATTACATTACTATGCCAACTGTAACCGCAAAACAGTAGTTTTTTCGCTTCATTTGAAGCTTATTCAAAAAGTTTTGAATACGGCTAAATGTTTGCATGATTTATGTTACTAGCACAATATAACGAATTCCTTCAGACGATGTCCAGGAAAACTTGTAAAAACGAACAAGTAGATATGACTATATTGCTTGGTATAATACACGTAAACTAATTGCTTATTAACAACTTTCCAGGCTAACCCAGTTCGTATTTAATTTTGTTCAATTTAGAAATTTGAAAATGGGACAATTCGAATCAAGACCAAATTTAGGAAGAACATCCAGTAAATCTGAAAACACAAACAACAAAGGGTTGCGCCTTCCAGTTGGACTGAAATTTGAAGGTTCAACTTCATATAGCAACGGCTTAATGCAAATGCTATATTTTATACCAAAACTTCGAAATACATTGTTGCAAATGAAAAAAATGCAGATAAGAAAGTATCCTCCATGCTTGAAGAATTGTTTCGAAAAATGGATGACAGTAAAGGTCCGGTAGGTACAAGCAAACTCAAAGACAAATACAAATGGGAAACTTTTGAAAATGATATAGGTTTGGACGGTTTCGGTTTACTTTATTTTATTTTACCAACTCTTGAAGAAGAAATGAAAGGCACAAGTGTTCAAGATTTAATTCCGTCTATGTTTGAGGGAGAATTGCTTAACTATATACGTTGTTTCGATGTGGAGTTTACAAAACAGTGGAAAGAAAAGTTCCATGCCTTGCACTTACATAATAGTAAAGGGGTGATTGATTCACTTCATAAGTTTATTGAACCCGAAATTCAGGATGGAGAACACAAAGTACGAACCGACATCCACGGATTACAAGAAGGAGAAAGGGGAGTAAAACTGCTTACACTGAGTCCAATTTTATGTTTGTATTCGGAGAGATATCGAAAAAAGTTTTTGGAACCATACGAATTTTCGAGAAAACTAGAACTTGATGAATTTTTGGACATTCCAGATCCTAACGACAAGGCAACATATGTGCTACATTCTTTACTCATTCACAGGTAAAATAATGTTTGCAAAACAGCATTTATTCTTTATTCAAAGACAAATAATAAATGATAATAAAGGTCATATTATCATGGTCGAGAGGCCGGCTCATTTGAAATAGCGCTGCAAACTGTTACCTAGATATTATGATTTAAATGTAGGTGCAAACTCGATGGTCAAAACAGTGATGGTAACTATCATGCTTTTATTGATCCTAAATGTGATGGCAACTGGTTTGTTTTTGATCATGAATTAGTAGAGAAATCTGATGAAGAAGAGATGCTTCGAGAAGGATTTGGTGGGGTAATTGATGGCCAGTTATACCGTCCGTAAGTAAAACGCATACAGTAATTTCGTAAACTCAAAGCTCTATGTATGACTGACCCAATAACTCTGTTACTTAAAACATTTACACATACAAGGGTCGACGTCTGTGAAGCTTAAAATTGATCGATCGCGTCCTATCGGTGGATATAGCTTTACATAGCCGTAGATATCTACAACAAGATATTTTAAAATCTAATCTCTGACTCATTCAACATTTAATTTAATTTAAAATTTCAGATACTTCTTCTTTTATATCCGAGAAAGCAAGATAAACGAAATTCTATTGGGATAAAGAGTATACATTGAAAACTCAGGGAATATAAAAGAGCCGTTTTGTGCTTATCTGTTGCTAGAATTATGGCGCACCCAAAGTGATGCCACGCGATGCCAAACTATATTAAAAAAATGATGAAAAACTTGGTTGCGATTTGGATATTCCTAATTGGATGGATTTACAAGATTTGTAATCTTATAACATATTCTTTGAACTTGTTGACTGACTTATTATGAGGTACAGTATGAGTGACATGTCAGGGATTCAAATATTAAAAATATATATACATTATGTGGAATTTCCGTTTATCTGATCGAATTGCCAAGATACCGCCACAAGCATTAGCAGAGGGTGGTAGCGGAAGTAATCATACGAAATATATATTTCAGTATTATATTGCAGTACTAAATACTACATCATAAGTAATTGTTAATTGAGTGGTGATTTCTTACGAAGGTCAATACACTAATCTCATTGAATCATTTTATTTACAAAGTAAAGATTTCAAATAAGAATAGGCTATTCGTTGCAAAAAGTAATGGAAAATATTAAATTAGTAATACGATTTGGACGGGATTAACGCTGTTAAATACCGTGAAAATAATTTTCAAGTGTAAATTTTCTCACTTCATAGGGCGCATTAACTACTAAAAAGCTCGTTTTTAGAAATGGTAAAGCAGTTTGCAGTGTTGGATAGAAATCACTATGTCACGGAAATCGGAGTATATCGAGTCAGGAGTTATCAGAATTTCGATTCGAATAAGCTACTGACCTTATCTCACTAGCGGTTTGTTGAGTAACGAGTCCGAGTCATTTCATATGACTCGAGTCACTCTGAATCTTGATAAACGGTGACTTGAGTCTAACTCAAATCTAGCCAATGACCCGAGCGTCCCCAACACTGCAATTTAGGATAGCAATCAATCTTCTTCAACATTTATGATATGAATACAAATTTGTGTTATTTGTGAAGTAATAAATTTAACACCATTCTAATGTGTTTCCCATGGCAGTTTAGAGCAAGCAATAGCCGATCCAATATACATAATCACTAGAAACAATCCAAATAAATAACAAACAATCCCGTAGCAAAAAAGGCTTACTTCGGAATAATTTTCTATTCGTTTTGAGTAATGATGCCTTGTTGTTTCTGAATCTTGAAATTCAACTCTTTTGCCGTTGTAGTCAGGTGGATGACCTCTGGCATTAACAATCTTGACTTCAATGCGTTTCAAATATCCATCGTATTCCAAAACACGAAATATGTATAAAAGTTGATTATTTGAGGTCCACCAAAAATCTCCATCTTGGAAAACTTCAATCGTAGAAAATTTTGAGATACGTTTATGTCCTGATTTGATTGCGTCAATCGTTTTATGTATTCTTAAATTGGAGTGACGTTCTCCAGTAGAACATATCTCATCGCTGAGCGATAAAGAAATATATTGTTTTGTAAATTTAATATCCTTTGGTCTCAGAAACACGCAAAATGATTTTCTTTTTGCCATTCGTCTTGACTTGTCTCCTTTTTCCGTTTTCGAAAATGCACAGTTTTAGTTTTGTGAATTCAGTAATTACTGAGCTATATACATACACACAATCATATAACATAAGCCCGACCAGCAAACATATCTAAAAATATATAATCATTATTGTTATTGCTTCAAATCTATGCCTATTTGACGAAAAAAAAACAACATTTTATTTTGTTTAGGTAAAAGCAGTTTTTAATTTGTATTAAACTTTTTCTAAGACACATAAAATAAATTTAGATAAAATAATCTTATTTCACATGTAAGGTTCAAAAAAATTACATGCATTTGAAAATTTGCAAAATGTCTCAACCCTAAAACATGCACGAACAGTCTATAATGCAGTGTTTCCCAACCCGAGTCCGCTGTCTCAAGTAGGTCCACGAAGCGTTTGAATGAGTCCGCAACGAGCCAGAAATTCACTACGAGGCGCAAATGTTTTTGCGACACTTAACTATCAGCCAAGTTACGATTTACGTTAAAATTTACATAAAAGTTTATTCACATAACATTAATCGAGTCAATAATTACTGGTTACTGAGTAGGGCTGAGCATATATTCGAATATTCAACTATTCAAATAGCAATTTATCATTCGAAAATTTGGTAACAGGTGACGCGACAGGTCACTTGCGCGTCGCTTAATCAAACGATTGGATTTCACAACTGACTTGCGTATTTTCGAAGAAAACACGAGTCTGCACACGCTTCGATAGATACTTAAGTGGTGTTTCTCGCAGTTCGAACAACTAGGAATATTTTTTTTTTCGGTGAGTGCCAATGGTAGCAACCCAAATGTTTTTACATTGAGAAGCGATAAAACAAAATACTAAGGATAAAACGGAGAACACCATAAATTTAGTTTTATGATGGCCTGCGACCGATTGAAAACGCTTGTTTAGACATTGCGAATCGCAAAATTTCGGGTGCTACCGTAGTACACGCACCGGGGCATTTTTTTATCAGATAGTAGGATTTTTCTAACCGCGATAACAAATTCCCAAGATTGCAAAAAATATGTATCAAAACTAAATATAATCGGGCAATATATTCTCACATTATTATGTTCGCAGATTGCCGTGGCATTTTGAAAAAGTAATTTTTTCATCTTGTCTTAAGTCGACGCAACCGCGAGTTACTATGAACACGAATAAATTAAAATAGAAAGTTTTTTAATTCTCGTCGTTGTCATGGACTGAATATTGTGCGACAGAAAATTATACACCATAAAGTCGGCTCTTCTAACGAACGCGTAATTGAGGCGAATTTCCAATTTTGAAATTCGTTAAAATTCTGTTGTGTTTGGTTTTCTTGCTTCTTCACACAGAGTACAGTTGCAATAAAAGCACCTTGAGTCCGCAAAGGTGCTGGTGTGAAAATAGTCCGCGACCAAAAAAGGTTGGGAAACGCTGCTATATAGGGATGATAAAAAATAACGATTTTGCTGATGCAAAAGTGGGGAAAATGTGACTGTTCATAATTGCACCAAGTTTGAGGGCATAATATTGCTTTGCCTGCAAATACGATTCACCTAAGACGAGGCAGCCACATATCTTTATGATAGGTATATGCTTAGTTTGTCAATGTAATATCCCCCTACCAATTAGGTGAAGTGACACTGTGAGTGTAATTTTACAAAAACCTTGAACAGTATCGAAATGTAAAGAGTTTATCAATATCCATGATTTTCACATAGAACATTCATTGTTTAATCCCAATCTGGTTTCTAATAGGAGATAACACGTAGACGGCGAGAAAAAAATAAATGAAACATATTCCAAATAAAAAGCAGAATATTCCATAAATAAGTTGGACAATCCGACAAAAAATGCGTTCACAGTATTCAAATGTTTCAAAAGAATGATTTCGAATTCTGTTTGAATCCTGAAACTGAACTTGTTTCCCGTCGTAGTCTGGCCGATGATATCGAGCTTTTACTATTCTAACTTTAATGTTATTGATGAATCCTTTATATTCCGATTGTTTGAACTCCACCAACAGTCACCATCTTGAAATACTTCAATCATTGGAAATTTGAAAACGCATTCGTGATCTGATTTGACTAAATTAATAGCCTCGTGTATGTCTGATTCAGACATTGAAGATATGTATTTCTTCGTAAAACGAATATCTCGCGGCCTGAAAAATATTTCATCTGTTAATTTTGACATTTTGCTCGAATGTTGCTTTGTTCAATACTATAGGTTTAAACTTAAATTTATAAAAACTAAAAATAACAATTCATAACGGAAAATTCAATTGATATAGCGACAACTTAGCGAATAACTCTTAACTTTCAGTAAACTTGAATAACAAATCATACATATATAGCATACGGAATGACTGAAAATAAGTACACTTCGATATAGAAGTTTTAGTCAGTTATAGTCATCCCAGTCGTTAGTTGATTGCTTAGTTTCATCCAACATATTCATTATAAAGAACAGACAAAATAATGAAAATGCCCCTGCAACACAACACCCACCATTAAGTAAGCATGAACAACGTAGTCTGATGAACCTTAAATCATGGTGAAGTAAGCTTTACTTTAATAAAGATTTTAATATAAAACTGACATGTACCCAGTTGTATTGATATCTCGCTGGTATAATGTCTTCAAAATTGAATATCCTTTTCTAATAAAATTCTGATTAATAAATTATAGGTGTTTGAACGATAAGCTGCGGATTTTGTAAAATAATTTATACTCCGATATTATTTATTTTATACAGATAATTGTTATTTAAATCCATTCCTTTTTCGACGTTGAAGATTGTTTCGCAAAAATATATTTTCTTTTTCCGTAAAGTAAATACTATCCTGTAACACGGAGCCCAATACAAAATACTTGGTTTTGCATTTATTGCCTTGCAGGCATAACTACACATATTGTGGTATAGAGAGGAGGAATTCCCGCCAATCAAACTGCAATCTTCATTAGGACTTAAAACTTGGAAATGCAGTCTACGTTGTTGCGAATGAGAAAAATGCAGATAAGAAAGTATTCTCCATGCTTGAAGAATTGTTTCGAAAAATGGATGACAGTAAAGATCCGGTAGGTACAAGCAAACTCAAAAAGAAACACGAATGAGAAACTTTTGAAAATGATTTGTTGTGATTTCTAACGAAGATCAATACACTATTCCTATTATATCATTTTATTTACGTAAGTAAAGATTTTAATTCGGGATATTCGTTGCAAAAAGTAATGAACAAAACTAAATTAGTAATACGATTTGGACGACGAGACTAAAGCTGCTAAATAACGTGAGGATAACTTCAAATTGTGAATTTCAGAACTCCATAGGGCGCAACTACTGAAATGCTCATTTTTAGAAATGGTGAAGCCGCAGCAGCTTTGCAGTGTTGCATATAGATCACTATGTCACGAAAATCGATGTGAATCGAGTCAGGGGTTATCCGAGTCATGAATCAAATAAACTACTGTGTTAATCTCACGGTTTGTTGAGTAACGAGTCAGAGTCATTTCATATGATTGGAGTCACTCTAAATCTTGATAAACGGTAACTTGTGTGTAACTGAAGTTTAGCAATGCAGTAGCTCAAGCGTTTGCAACCCTGCAATTTGGGAACAATTTAGCAAACAATCTTTTACATATAATTTGGGATATGAATAC